AACAAAAACAAGGTTCTGTCTGGTCGACGTGTCAAAACTTTCTATCCGAAATTCCTCTTTCATAGCCACAACTATCGTTTCAGGCGAATATAGATTTATATGATTTCTCGAGTAGCATTCCATATTATAAAATTGGGAACAAGCCCCGCCAACACCAACAAAATTACAGTAAACCAAGTAGATCCCCAGTGCTACTCGTAATTACTGAATGAAGATTTGTCCAAACAGCCGACAAAGTTATATTCCTTAAGGAGTATGCCTAAATACAATTACGAGCACAAACAAAATCGCAAAGATTTAGTTGTGTGTTGCGAAATTGACGAATCTGCGGAGTACCCTACCCGTGAAAGTTTATTCTTACTGCAAGTAGTCCTTGTCAATACTCGACAGGAACCATTTTCAAGTTTTTGATAATTTACTGTTAATGTTTGTGCAGTCCGAACTGCATCACTTCTAACAGTAAACTAGCATGAAAACCGAGAGTTTCCCCGTGTAAAACACGGCATTTGTATAAATTTATATGATTTCGCCGAGCAGCATTTCATATTACAGACGACCCCCTCGCAGTCATAGCGCTGGTAGCACTAATTTATTCCTGTCCAAGGGTATTCCTATCCATGAATGTACCACAAAACGGATCAGTGTACCTGTAGCTTGGAACAGTGCACAAAATTTACAAAGCTGTGTTTACACGGAGAAGCTCTGGATTATACATAATTGTTGCCTTTGTGTAGGATGCTTGCTACACAATTCGCCTTTCGATGTTCGGACACGTTGTTCTAGCAGTACACACACAACAGTACTGCGCAAGTCGCACAAGACGAATACTGGTGGCATCTGATCCGCATCATACAGCGCGAAGCTCAACTCGTCGGAATTTTTCGGTATTTTCGCAATACTATATGAATATTTTCGTTCTGGAGTTCATGACAACAGTTTATTCGCCGTCGATGTGTGCTTCGTCTTGGAACAGGCTAATCCAGGATATGTTTGATCGTGATGTAAGGTTCGTAACCTATGCAAGAGTTTTATGAATCTTTTCTTCAATTTCCTTGCTGCGTCTTTTTGCAATAATGTACTAACTCATTTCACCTACGCGTATTAGCACTGTTTAGCTCATAGTTAGGTTATTT